TTGCTATACGCCTTTTCGAAGTCGAATCACGAAATTAATTTAAATAGTATATTTGAAGGGAAAATATATTTCTTTCCCTTCGTTAAAAGTGTTCTTCCATCATTATTAATATTAGTATTAATGTCTTAATGTGCTAAAAAGATTTAATAGTAGATTGAACATGGATATAGCTAATGTATATAGATAAATTTATATTTTTCAAGCAATTTCAAATTGCAATCAATTTGCCTGTTTCTATTGACTCTTTTGATACAAAAAATTATAGTTACGAACGAATATATTTTATTAATTAATTTTAATATAATTTTCAATCTTTTTTAAAGAAAATATTTCTAGGCGCTGAGGATAGGAAGATTATTTTTTGATTTCTTTTAAGAAATCATTTGCAGGTATTAAACATCCCGCCATTCTAGGATAGTATCCTAGATTGTTTTTAGATATATTATTCTATATATATAATAAAATACATGTGCAAATTAACATATTGTTTCAAAAAACTTTTATATTTAAAAAAAATATTATATTACAAAATGCATATTATGTATGAATGTAACGTAAAATGTGCGTATACTTTAAAACTTCGAGACAAATCGAATGGGTACCCCGATATCAGTGAAATATCGGCAAATTAATGTATTTAAATGGTACAGAAAAAGATTAATTATAGCTTAGAATTATTATAATTATGCTTATATTATTTTGATTTATTTTATGTTTGTTGCAAAGTATTCAAATCGAATTTTTTAAAATTTCACTGTTATCGGGTTCGATTCGTCTCGAACAGTTGGTACCCGAGAATTGTTTGTACTCGCACATTTAACACTAGCTACAATAATATGATGCATGTATTTTATTATCCATAAATATAGTCGTTCGTAATCACATTTTTACAAAAATTGTTATATCCATTTAATTTTCAATAATGACATATTTCCGTTCTCCACCTTTAAGATTGTTCTTGTCTTTGTCGGATATTAACCGGCGTGTTATCTGGCGGAGGGATCTCGATCTGGTCAAATAGTTGGGTCAGTTATCCTCTATTGAACGCGGCAATAACGCAATGTTTTTATAACAGTATCTTAAGATTTATAAGATTTTATCCTATTTAGCCAATTTTTCCCGAAACGGTACATATATTCTTATTCTCAATCGCGAAATTTGCATAAAATCACGTATTTGAAAATAAATTAGGTTCTATATTCACAAATGGTCTATTACACTCGACTTATCTCGGTTATCATCGATTTATTTATTCGTCGCGTTTTTTCTCAAATTTTAAATTGCGGTTTACCTTGTGATTTAATCATTAATTTACATCGAAGCTTCGTCTACTTTTTCTCGAATATTTTCTTTGAAAGTCTACGCAAAATGCGCCAGTAGACCAAGTATTTTTTTCTACTATTAAAAAACGATCAACAATTTTATTAACGATTCTTTTGGTCATAATAGTTTGTATTATATAAAACTTAATAAACTTCAGATGTTTAATCAGCAAAAAATCTTGTGCTTTAAAACAAAAATAGTGTTAAAAACGGGGCATAAACTTTATATTATTTATATTATTATATATATTTATATTAATTAAATTCTCTCGAAACCTACAAGGCGACATACACTACTTTTTGGTCAAACATATATTCATGGCAAATTGGGGTTAATCGCTCTCAAAGCGATCAAACCTGCTTCACTAGAAAACGCTAATAGTTACCGGTAGGGTCACCCATGCCGGACAGGTCGAAGGGGAAAAGTCAGACTAAGAGAGATACCGTAATTATTATATATATATTTATTATATTAATATTTTGAAATAAAATGGAAGCAAAAGAGACAATAATCGAGAGAATAGAAAGAAAAAGGGACTCTAAAATATTTTCGTACTCCCCTCGGGACTTAGAAATATGCTGATATATGATACGACATACGAAAAACCGATTTCATCATTAGCAACATTAATTAATTCTTTCTAATGATCGCCCGGTAATAGGTATACTGTCAAGTTTTCGCAAAATTTATAAAATTACTTACATATTAACTCTAGTTACCCGTTTTTTTCAAAATCAATTAAATAAAAAATATTTGAACTGTCAAATACGCGGCTTAGCCATGATAGGCTTTTATTGATATAAAGTAATACGCAGTGCAATGTCGAGATAATCAATCAGCATCGCGGAAAAGAGGCAACAATACTTGCGAGTATCGATTTAACAAGTCTTTTTTTAAAAGTGGATTTTTATTTGACTCTTTATTTCGGAATAAGCTACACGGCACAAAAGCGCATTGATGAATAAAATAGGGATAACTGCTCTCGTTAATATCTAGTTCTTAAACAATTTACATATGTGTTAATACAATGATAAATATTATCGATGCATATTGTTCGTAATTATTGATACAAATAAATAATTCATTGGGTTAATTATATAATTTGTTTAATTGACTCGATGTTTGCTTATGAAAACAAGCTTTGTCCATGTGCCAGCAACAATTTTATGTTGTTTAAAACAAAAGGATTTTCAAATATCCATGTCATTTGATTGTACTATTCTGGTAATTTGTTTGCAACAGAGCTTAGCGTTCAGTAAATATATTTATAGATATACAATATGTGTATGTGTGTGTGTAATTAATTTCTATTTTATTTTTAATACTCTCTTTCTCTCTCTCTCTCTCTCTCTCGGTTTATTTTAAAGAATTATGACAATTAAAATATGCGATGCAAATATTTATATTGATCCTCTTGTCGCGATGCTTGACATATCTTATTTATGATTGAATAAAGCTTTCATCAATTGAGATTAAAGTACAATATGCTATTTGCAAATTATTCACAAGTTACAAATATTTAAGAGCTTGAATATAAAAATTTATTAATTGAAGAAAAATTTTACCTCTGAAACAATTATACCAAAGTTATAACAAAATGAACATTGTAAGAGTTTTTAAAATTTACTATGATCCAAATATTATAATATATTTATTTGCATTCTTTTGAAACATTTTTTAATTTAATAATTAAAAGCAAAAACCTTAGTTACGTTATTGATATAAATATATATTTCGATACTAACTTTCCAAGAGAGATTTGATCCCATTCACAACCAGTTCGCGCTATGTGCAGGTACGATATAACGTAGTTTCCAGCGACTCAACGCGCCGCAATAACGGACTGTAATTTTATTTATGCGGATCGCGCGAGCGCAGCTTTATTTATCGACGCGAAACTCAAGAACGCGCGCCGCGTTCTAGCCCGTCACTTCCAATCTTGGGATCCGTGGCCGGCATTAAAATTTCATCCACGGCGCGAGAGAGCAATTACGCGGAGAAAAGTTAAAAAGTAATGTTACAGCGAGACCAGAAGTCCCCGCAAGAATGGCGCGTAAACTTCTTAATCGGGTTACCGGTAAAATACGCATTCAGCTATATTATTTAAGACAGCGCGGTTGATTGCCGCGAGGCAACATCTCCCCAGGATTGGATACCACTTCTGGACGCTCTTTTAATTCCGCGGATATAAAACTGTTGTCGCCGAGAACTGGAAATCTCGCGGGATTTTACACATTCGAAAGAGCTTGACACATAAAAGAGATTATTGTCCATTATTTTTTTTCCAAAATTAAGTGGATTATTTATTTAAAATGATCATCAAAAGCGAGCTCTTTGCATAAATTCAATTTGATAAGCAATGTCGCGATTATTTTCGAGCGAATATTTTCTTCAATTGTCGAACTACCAGTTTCGTTTTAGAGCACGAAATATAGTTTATACTTCGTTGTGGAAACTATTTGATGCACGTGGTTGTTTTAACACATAGCAAACCGAAAAACGTTCGACGAGGTCGACAACGATCCGATGAAATACTCTCGCGGCGCGGCGTCATCTCGTTACCACGTCGCTTCATCTTCCCCTTGTTTCTTCGCGTTCTATTCGTGATTCTTACACCGGCACTTCAGCGCGCCAGTCTGCATTATGAAATTAAGTAAGAAGACCCCGGAGGCGGCGAAGGCATTCGACAATTTCCACTTTCTCGCCATTAGCCGGTATACCTGGCCGATCGATAGGGAACAGTGGATTTCGTCGTCTTTTATTTTTCCCAGGCATCCAATCACTTGGCAGTGCGCGCGATTGGTACTTACTTAATGACGCGATGGCTTCTCTCCAATATTTTCACGAAATTAGGAATTGTGACCTGCGCGGAATTAGAAATTGGGATAATTTTTGTTATCGGAAATCGATTGATAATTTAAATACGAAGTAAATTTTTAGATAGTATATCAAATTCTTCAAATACTGAATTAATATTATACTGTATTACTCGGACGTATAAAAATATAAATAAAAAGTAGTCTTGAATTATAATTTTTTTACATCAGATAAAGTTTAGCCATATCCATTTTCGTTCTATATATATATATATATATATACACATTTATATATCGGAGATGAACGAGGTGAGGCACGTTTTGACAGCCCTAAGATCGCCCACGAAGAGCTCGACCTTGAGCAACGGCACTGTAGGCGTCGCGACAGCGACGTGGTACGACGTCCCGGCGCCGATCATCGTGCATTGTCGCGAGTTCCACGAAGAGGGACGCGACGTCATCGAAAATGAGGAGAATAAAAAGTTCTGCGAGAAAGAGACAGAAATTAGATCCATTGATAAGAATATGGAGGCTGGCTCCTTCGAGAGGGATGCGAACGTCCTCGGATCTTCGGAGAAGAATACGACGACAGTTGGAAGACCCTTGTCGTTCAATGAAGCGTTGTATCAGAACGAGGAGGCAGTTATGAATGATATAAATCGGAATAGGAAGAGGCATAGTGCCACGGTGGAACTGAATGCCACCACAATGGTAGAGACAGACGCCGACGGAGTGCCGACGATCAGCTTCAGCTTTCTGCGCGTCGACGAGAAATTTCACGAGGATGGGGACGAGATCGTCATTCTGGAGATCGACACGAGCGATCAGGCCAAGGACTTGGCAGAGAATCAACTGTACGACCTTCCTAAGATCGCCGTCCCGAGTCGAGTCTCCTTGGAACAATCCGACGATAACGAAACGAATGTCGAATCCTCGTCGCCGACGATTCTTTACGACGTGCCGAGGCCGGCCAAGGACACGCCCTTGAACAAGTCGCAAGAGGGAGAGGCGACGATGACGCTATCAAACGTTTCTCTTGACAAGAAGAAACAACAACGCGATCAGACGAAACGTTCCACCAGGTCGCTCAAGTCCGGCCGAAGAAGCTACGGCGCGTCCGACAGCGATGGCTACGACGCTGGGATAGCGTCGATGTCAGGATCGTACTCTGATCCCGAATGCCCGAACGAGGAGGGCTCGGTGAGCGGCGGTTCCGATCGCAGCAGGCGGATGAAGCTGCAGAAGCGGCGATTAGGCAAAGCCTGGGGCAGGATGCGCAGCTGGCTGCGAGAAGAGAGGACCAAGATCGGCGACATCGTGAACAGGCACGCGAGGATGCAGGCGGTCGGCGCTCTCAGTCCCGAGGTAGCGCCGGGAAAGAAAGAATGACGCGGAATCGACACGCGATTAATAAACATTAGTTAAAATAGACGGAGAAAAACGGAGATATAAAAGATTTTGGAAAAAAAATTGAGACTCGCTCGATTCTCGGCGACAATATTCATTATATGCAGCTTTTAACGTAGTCTGAGTCTCTTGTTTCTGTATTCTTAGTACCTCCATATTTAGCACTTTCTCTGCTTTTCTATAAGTTCACGTTTGGTCGAGCACATGCGTAGAATGAAAATTAAAATTATGCATCGAAAGGATATTTTTATGCTGTGCGTGTTTCATTGGAATAGAGAAACTGGGCACCGAGAGAAAATGTCAAGAAAGTAGACAAAAATTTATAATCGACGTCGTTAAATTAATTAAATTTGTTTGCTTAAATCGGTCAATTTTAACTAATGTTTATGACGTTGTCTCGGAATATATGTATATATGAGGGATTCGGTATATGAGCGGGATGAGTTTATAATTTGTAGAGGAGTTAAGTATACGACTCGACGTATGAAGTGGACCCTCGCAAATTACGGATTTATTCCGCTTTCACCCTGATTCGTTGCTTCGTCGCCCGAGAATCCTACAATTGGCTGTAATAGATGCCAACGTTGGGCTAAATAACATAATATGGGTTTCGAATATCATGATTTCCGATTCCTCGATTTATGGAAAGCGAAGAAAACGCGAAGTTGCAAGCAGTTCGATAATATAGTTAAAAAGAAATCGAGAGAAACCTATTTTTTATAGATTTTATTCCACAGAATTTTAGTCTCACACAATTATTCTATTGCATCACAATTTTTTTATCGAATTTTTTAATCATCAATTCACATAAAGAATTTATACGAAATGACTTTTTTGATACAACTTTATTCTTAAAATTTTCAAAACTGCTAGAATCATATCGTCGAGGAAACTATAGGAAATGATTATTTTTTTCTTGTGAGTTTAAAATAAAGTCACTTTTTGTCGAACTGTATAATACTCTCGCGATTAAAACGCGTACGAAAACAAAGAGTCCTCTCACTCGAACTTTTCCAACTTTTTCTTTAATCGATCTTTTATCGGGGAAATTTATTCTCGCATCAAGGTGCGAGGCGATGCCACTTTCGCGCGGACGTCCAAGAACAAGCAGCGCGGCTTCTACGATCTGACGCGGGCTCGTACCCAGGAGACCGGTTCGATCGCCAGGGTGGAAGAATTCGGGCTGTCGTCGGTATCGGAGGAGGCAAATGTCTCCGACGATGTGGAAAGACCGACATCGGCGTCGCCCGACTCGGAAAAAGCGAACGGTTCTCGAATGTTGCGCGGTAATTTGAAGAGGAAGACGGTGAGCTCGGACGACATCTTGGAGAACAGCAGGACAAGATTACAGCCGCCGGTGTCGTCAACGGTGTCGTTCAGCATGGACAAGCTGTGCTCGGACGTGGAGAACGATGAGACGAGAATGTCATCGACAACGCCGACGACGATGGCACCGGCGGAAGTCGGCTGTGAGACGTCGAGGGATCACGGTGGGAAAGGTGGCCTGATTAAGAGGAGAATGCTCGGGTCAATCAGAGGGTTAATGGCCTCCACTCATCTGCTGCAGACCTACGAGATCGAGGAGGTACTTTGCGCTCTCTCAAAGTCTTGTTACTTCTTTCCTCCTGTTGCATGCTGATTGACGTGTTTGCGCAGTTGTCGCACACTCAGCATTGGCATTACAATCGAACGTGATGCGCATTCTTAAAGTTAGATAGAAAGAGAAAACACGCGAGAATGAGTGGGAACAAAGGGCGTAGTCGGTGTAAACTGTAGTTCGAATAGAAATGTAAAGCGAATTTTTCTCGGTTGTATCCGAACGTCATTATAATTCGAACAATCCTAACAATAAGTCAGTTAAAATTGGTAATAGTGGAACAAGCTATTTATTCGTACTTGAAAATTATATACTATATATATTTAAAAATCTCTCTGTTAAATATAAAAACATTAATATATATAAAAATCATTTTATATATTTTAATTATATA